CCATTCACCTTTGATAATTAATCACTGTAAATAATGTATTTGAAAGGTTAATAGAATAAGATAATTATGCAAGAATGTTTATCGTATAATTAAAAAAGTACTTTCTTAGTTTTAATAAACAGGTAGACCTGTAAGTAATAGATAAATAAAAATGAGACAAAAATAACTTATCTTATTAAAAGTTCTTCAAAGACCATAAGAGAGGTCAATGCTAGAGGTCTTAATATGGGTTTATAAATAGTACAGAAGCACTAATAGTTTGTTAATAGTCTGCATAGTGTTAAGTGGGGGACAGATTAGAACTTAATTTATGAGTTGATACTGAATACTAGACTAATTATTTTGTTGATCCTGATCTTCCTACTTCTCTTGCTTTAGGGCAACAAAGCTTCAACTATCAGTGTATTTAACTTCTAAATTGTTGTATTATACTCAGGTGACCGTTAAGGCCCTTGGGCCTCTTGTTTAGATCAACGTCCCTTGTTTTCACATTGTCATGCTTTCAATATATCAAAATGTATGACACTACGCTGTCTAAACCACTGCTCCCGCCAAATTACGACTTTCTCTACTTTAGATTTAAGCGGAAGTGAAACATTTAGTCAACTTGTATAATGTTTCATTTAACAAGAAATACGACGTCGTCGAAATCTTTTGCTTCACAGTTGAATTGGGAATTTGTAGTCACAGAATTGGGAAAATTTAACGTTTTTTGGCATTGGCAACGGGCCGTGTATCGGTACCAGTTATATAAGGGAAAAAAAAACGCTGTTGATAGAAATCTGTCTGGACTGACAAACTTCGCATGGCAGTCAGTCCAAATGACCGACACCGAATAAAAGATTTCAAGAACTCTGATTTTAGGGATCATGATTTATTATGACTCAAAAAGAAAGATTTCAGCCATTCGGATGATGTACAACTTTTATTCGTCCGAATGAAAATGTATTAGTCTGAGACTAACGGACTAAGACGTTAATGTCCACAGTACCTCTAGTTTCTCTTCAACCTTTGGAAATACAAATAATTTATTGGTAATCAATTAATTTAACTTTCTTAGGCGTGCCAATGGATAGCGTCTGGGACGTATATTTTTTAATTAAGGGTCGAATTGAATAAGAATCTCTAGGGTATCCGGAACTCGTCGGCTTATTCGTTACTGGTAAAATGGACACCTATGGTAACTTGCGAAATAATTTTTCTTTGAGGTAAGGTTGAACTTTTATGAAACAATATTTAATTCCACAATTCATCGAACTACCTTGACAAAACACTTAGATTTTGAAATTATGCCTAGTATGTTTATAGCACCGCCAAATCGGTTTCTTATTCGGAACTGGTCAAATAACTGTACCCGCCTTGTATGTACACAGTTTAAAAAAAAAATATTGGTAAATTTGTATTATTTCAAAAACAATTGAGAGTATTTTTATCCATGCAATTTGTGCTAAATATCTTTTATTTATTTATTCCAATTTCTTATAATTTTAACCGCAAATAGCGTTTCTGTTCACGGACAGGAAAATTCTACAGCAGATATCTTGAAACTGAAAGCAAATATGTTATGAAATCATGTTTTAATTATCTTATCTTTGTATATATGAATACAATCTACACCATGTTCAATATTGTTGTGAAGTTCCTCCTATTTCCCATAGAAATATATAGGAAGAATATTTCAATGACAGCAAAGCCATGATTGGTCATATTTAAGTTGGGTGGGAATGGGGGGCACAATGCATGTTCAAATGTAAAGGGCTATACAGCCACAGGTAGTCAAAGAAATATGCAAGCATCCTTAGTTAGTGTACATTTTTGCATTTTTCCTAGCCACACTGCTCAGGTGAGCGATGTGGCCCATAGACCTCTTGTTGTTATTGTAATGGGAATATTTTACTCATCAAAAGGGGAAAATTTGATCTTCAGGGGAAATTTTCTCCAGGGGAGAAACACTGAATATTGGTAGTAAGTATGACCTATCAGTCAGCATTTGACTCAATGACAAATTGTATTTGTTGACAAGGTCATTGTATCGATCATAGAACTTACGAAATGATGACTTTAAATGAGACTGCCAATGCTCGACATTAACACATGTCCGCTTGTCTGGTACCAGAGAAAAGAAAGTACGGACAAGTGAATATTGCAGGGCACTTGTCCGATTGGACAAGTGCATTTTAATGTAAAGGAGTCTATAATTAATAAAAAGAACGACTGTTGACAGCTCATTGGTAGTTTCAAGATGGAAGCTGTACACAAAACCCAGACTTTGATCCCGATTTGTATCGCTATATTAATATTGAGTTCATATTCGATCGGGCTCGAAGTTCACTAATTGCATAAGATACGAACCGAAGTGTGGTCTGTGTATTCTGTTTCATGTCGACAGGGTCACTTGTGGACATTAATGTTATTGTCAGGACAGAAAGCCTGATTAAATTTCGTTGCGTAAATGTGTTGTATTTATCATTAACATTACGAATCAATCAAGCATATGTCATGTGCACAGGACTTTATTTTAATTTTCAAATTGAAACTATAAGATCTTTATTGAAATTGTTTTCAGACAATTGAGGTTAAAGTTCGGACAAGTAAATGTCTTGGTCACTTGTCCGAATGAACAAGTAGGTTAAGTTAATGTCGAGCCCTGACTGCTGATATTGTTGTTTCCTCAACTTGTTTGTCAATAATGTACCTCGTTTTAGAAATTGTTCATTTGCATACTCTTGCGTATTGAATCAACTGAGCTATATAAACTCCGTATGCAGGTGATGAAGGTATATTGCTGCATAAGTAAGGGGCGTTGACTAATACAAAGTTAAAGTCATCACGTTTATCATATAACTTGGTTGTGTCAGACTGTCACTCTGTGGTATCTTATCTCAAGCTCACCAGGATATATCATATCAACATAGGAATGAAATCAAAGCCCCAGGGCTGAAGTAGGATATCAAAGTTTAATAAGAAGGTTTTTTTTTTTGAAAATCTGAGTATCCTGATTGCTAGCTAAAAACGAAAACTCTTTTTGAAATATATATGAATCAAATTTTACATCTTATTCTGATAAAATTTCTTAAAATAATTGATGAATAATTTTTTGTCTTCATGCACGCAGCATTTGCACTGGAGGGTCATGAAAATGCTGTGAAGCACATCAAACTGCAGAAGGATAAAGCAGGATGTGAAGTTAGACCTGTAAATGACATAATTGGCAAGTGCACGTAGAATTTTTAAAGTTATTATATACCCGGTATATGATTTAAACATCCAGGCAATGGTCAAAGTTCTAATATATATAAAGTACTGAAAGACATCAAATTCATTCATTTAGTGGTAAACTCAGATGACTTATTGCTATCTGTTTTCATTTGACATGCATCATTTGTCGTGTTTTAACATTTGAATATTTTCAGCTTCTTCTCTGCAACTGCTCAACCAATTTCAACCAAATGTGGCAAAAAACATGTATAGGTGAAGGAGAACAAAACTTGTTTATTTCATGGTCCCTGTCCCCAATCCCCCCACCCCTTGGGGCCTGAGGGGTGGTGCAAAAACCACTAAAATTAATGCAATTTTTTGGAAAAAAAAGTCTTTTTGTACCCCCCCGCAAACGAAGTTTTTTTTTGGGGGGGGGGGGGGGTATATAGGAATCAGCTTGTCCGTCTAGCTGTCTGTCCGACCGTCTGTCTAGCTGTCTGTGCAAACGTGCCCGGTCCATATCTTTCTTACAGAGGAACATTAGAATCTACTACTCCACACAAATCTTGCCCATGACCTAAGGGTGTGTCATGAACTTGACCCCAGGACATTGGGGAAGTTCAAGGTCACTGGAAGAAAAATTTCATAATTCATGTCCAGTCCATATCTTTCTTATGGATAAACTTTGTAGGTTCTCATTTCACACAAAGATTGCCCATGACCTAAGGGTGTGTCTTAAACTTGACTCAAGGTCATTTGGCAAAGTTCAAGGTCACTGGAAGAAAAATTTCTTAATTCATGTCAGGTCCATATCTTTCTTATGGATAAACTTGGTAGGTTCTCATTTCACACAAAGATTGCCCATGACCTAATGGTGTGTCATGAACTTGACCCAAGATCATTTGGGGTTTATAACAATAATTGCTAAAATTGTCACTGAAAGTAGGCAAGTTCTCTCGATTAGAAGTATTTATATATCATATCTGATGAATTTGAACTAAAAAAATTGAATGTCTACAATCCTAGGGCTTATTGTTACAGTTGAATACATGAAACATTAAACTGTTCTCTTGCTGACTAGAAAAAATACATCTCTACCCTTTGTCCATTAAGTGTGCACCACTGGCGAGAGGGTACAGTTACATAACTGAGCACATAAGAAATAAGTGTGGACAAAATTGCATGAAACTAAGGGAAATATTGCCGAAAGTGTTGTTCATCATAACTATGCTTAATTTAGTCATATGCAAGGTCATGGCTATTACACCCCTAATACCTTAAGCATTAGCAATTAGATAAGCATTACACAACGAAAGTACTGCGTTTGATGTGTTGAGTAATATAAGTACGATTTAGCTAATCATAATGATATAAATTAAGGTTAACTAAGTTATTGATTTTTCTCATTTTAATCTAAATCTTTGATTTTTTTTCTCCTAAAATGGAAATAGTTGTCCCCATTACCTAGGAATATCCCATATTCCTAGTCATTTAATGCTTTCATATCAGTACTTCATTTTGTCATTTTTTCTCTGTATTTTCTTCCATCTGAATCAGGATGTTTCTCCATTTTAGTCAAAAGTCTTGTTGGTATTTTCAAAATTATTTAAATAAATGCAGAAACTTTCCTTTGTAATTATTATACTACTGTTTTACACTTGTGTGTCTATCCGTATGTCTTTCCGTCTGTCCAACCGTAACAAATTTTCGTCGAAGTTTTCTCAGTAACTACTCATTGCAGATGTTTGACATTTTGACGCAATCTTCTCTGAGGCATGCCATATGGTGGGATTTATTTTCGCTCAAATCCAATTTCAACTTCCTGTTTATCTGTGCGTCTGTCCGTTTCATACATAACAAATTTTCGTCGCAGTTTTCTCAGCAACTACTCATTGCAGATTCTTGAAATTTTAGAACATTCTCTTACGCGGGTACGTTAAGGCAGTACACAGATCATATTTCGGCGAATTTAGTCTTTTTTCGCTAAATGTAACATTAATAAATCGGAAAAGCCATAGATAAAACATTTACTATTATTATCCATTGTATAGACGTCATTGAGTCTGAGGCTAAAAGAAGCACTCCACTACGACGTCATCACGTGACGTCTATAAATAGAAAAATTACCTTAATGAAAAAGTGAAAAGTTCAACACTACCCCGGGGATAATTCATTTCTTTTTGTGAAAATAATTATGTAAAAACATTACTGGACCATGAAAAGTGCTGCTAGAATCCTACTCTCCAAACACAGAAAAATTATTCCAAAGTTTTGCATGAAACCTTACCAAAATTTTTACATTTTACACATACGATCAAGGAATTGGCATCAATTTATGTTAACCACACGATTCTAGCAGCACTTTCCAAGTACTTTAGAATACAAGCTTTCGATACAAACAAAAATTATGTTTCACGGTATGCGGCGTAGTGTTGAACTTTTGCATCTTTGTTGTTATAGAGCGACAGAGGAAAGGCTGATCGGGATTTCAAAGCACTGCGTCTGTTCATTATAAGAAAACATGATAAGAATATATCAGCGTACCTGATTCTTAATCTTTAATTCCTTATGAATCACACATAACATTCAATGAATATGCTTTAAAACTCCCATTTCATATATTTGTTTACATGATTTCTCGTCACATTTCATTTTCACTCGGCAAATATTTGATCAATAGTTATGACGTCATGGGTTTGGTATTTAACCCCCGTGATAAATACTTAGCTATTTATACCACTCACGAACGACAAGATTTAGTTTATATTATGTTTTTGAATGATTCCATTTATTTCTTAGATCTGAAATCAAACTTTAAATATAGATATTAAGAAATCATTATTTCTAAAGATCACGTCATACAGCTTACTATGACGTCACATTGAAAAGGCAAGTAGGATATCTCTGGGTGTAGCCTTAACATACCCGCGTAGGCATGCCATATGGTGGGATTAATTTCTGTTCAAATCGGATGTCAACTTCCTGTTCCTCTGTGCATCTGTCCTTTTCATACATGTTTCACACATAACAAATTCTTGTCACAGTTTTGTCAGCAACTACTTATTGTAGATGCTTGAAATGTTAACACAAGCTTCTCTAAGGCATGCCATGTGATGGGATTGATTTTGGTTATTTACACGAAACACTACACGGTTTGCACGAAACGCTACACGGTTTACACGAAATGCTTTGCACGAAAGGCTGCACGTTTTACACGAAAGGCTGCACGAAACGCTTTGTACACGATTCTCACACGTTTTGGCCTCAATTTTGATTTTCTACTCGGAATCTCTCGGATATTATTACGGTTTTATTATTAAAATATTTAAAATTACATCTCTATCTTTCACATCTAGTTAAACAGCTGTTTAAATTAAAATTCAGTATACACCGATAATATATAAACCAATAGAACTATTCAATAGTCTGACAGTTTTAATTACTTAATAAATAATTGTCAATAATTTTGTATTTATTTATCCAGTTGTATAGAGATAAAATGCCGATATCATCGTGTACATGTACGTATAATACATTTTATTCGCGATTAAAATGTATTATCATTATTTGTCATTCATTAAAATATGTTTCTTGCATTTAAGTATTTTTACAAGTAAAGGTTAAAAGTACTTGGACACAGATTTGAAGTCAATATTTTCTCTATAATATTACGACTTATATATTTTAATAGCATTTCACACAAAAATTAATTAAAAATCTTATTTCATAAAAAGTTATTAAAACTTCAAATTTTTTGGCGGGTTTGATTGACACATCCTTGCACTTTCACAATTTTAACCTTATTCTTAATCCTAAGGAAAAGTGGCAATTTTGTTGTGTATTGATGAGAAATATTAAAACTTTTATCCAGAAAAATAATTTTATTCAGAGTAGAAATGTTAGAAAGCAAAACTCCTTCACAAGTATCGTCATTCCGAACTAAGAGTTGCGTACAGAGTTTAGCAAATCGAGCACACTCGTGTTATGTACACAGTTTTTGCAAACAGGGCACGAGTTCTGTTATTGTTTATGTTTACAATACAACGGGTGCGTTCAATCGTCACAGTCTGCTTACCACAACTGCACGGACAGACAATATATTGTGTGTTTGTTTTGCTTTCTAACATGTCTACTCTGAATTTTCTGGATTATAGTATTAAGGACAGACGATACGTTCCTCAATAATATATATTTTTTCTAAGATTTTGTCATTGAAGTAATGCTACTTTAATATGTTTACTCGCAAAAAACTGAGGTACCTTAGCTTACCAGGCATTTGTGCAAGATACCGGAGGATGTTGTTTCCTATAAAATCCTTTTGGAAAAACTTAATTTGCCAATATCACATTTTTTAGTGTTTCAATTTTTTAAAGACAATTAGAAACCAGTTTAGAAATAAGAAAGTATTTAAGATTTTGAATATTTTTCATGCAATACGAAGATATACAAAACAGATATTTGAGGAACGTATCGTCTGACCTTAATATTTTTCATTTATACAAAACGAGATTGCCACTTTTCATAAGGATTAAGAATAAAATTAATTTGTGAAAGTGCAAGGATGTGTCAATCAAACCCGCCAAAAATTTGAAATTTTAACATCTTTTATATGAAATAAGATTTTTAATTAATTTTTGTGTGAAATTCTATTAAAATATATAAGTCGTAATATTATAGAGAAAATAATAACTTCAAATCTGTGTCCAAGTACCTTTAATAAATGAAATAAAAGTTTAATTTCTTACTTCATATAACTACAACTCATTTATTGATTGATTTTAGATAACATTGATTAAATTGCGTTTGATTTCCATGAATAGGCATATTATTTTTCTTGTTTTTGATTTAATAATTAAATAAAATTTGTCTATATTATTTATCCGACAAACGATTAATGTGGGATACTTTTTTTAATTGAGAAATGTATATAAAGTACATTTCAGTAAAAGATCATAAACAAATTTTGTCGAGTTATCATTTCATTTAATATCCTACATGTATAGGTAGAATTTATTACAGAAACAAGTGCTTGTGCAATAGAGGATACAAATTTCCATGCTCTTGAGGGACCATATTTTTAAGTCATTGAATGTTCTTTACTGAGAATCATTCAACTAACATTTCAATAAAAAAATTATCTAATGTAAGCATTATCCATAGGAGGGAAATGGCGGAGGGGGGGGGGGGGGTTAGACAGGAAATCTTTATACATTTTTATTCTCTCTTTACATGTATCTAATCAACTAAGTAAACGTAAAATCCTTCATTTCAGAACCTGACTACACATATGTATTTGAGTATGTACTCGTATACAAGTACATTAATAATCGCAGCATTTGAATACATGTATACATTGTACATACAATGTAGATCTAAAGTTACACATTTAGATATATTACAAGAAAACTGAAATATCCTGGATAAAATAAAAAATGATTTATAAAGCAAATAATATACAATGATTCATGATTAACTTCTAAACTTTTAATATTTTCATGAAAAGGCTAGCAAATCAGTTCTACATGTATGTACTAGTATTTTATTATTTACGGCTAGAAATTCATATTTGCAAATAAAAGATAAAATCCACAGATATAAATTGTACCCATCAAATATAAATCAAAGTATTTATTTCATTTCGAATAAAAAAATTTTCATTAAGCCGTGATCGCAACATGTACATGTCGTAAAACAGGTTGTAGTTCAGTTCCATGCACTCGGAGCCTGTGATCTCTTTTGTAAATGACCTTGATCACAGCTGAAAGGAAAGGGCGGAAAGAAGATTCCGATATATTTTGTAAGGGGTGTGTCGGCGCACACAACTAACAAAAGATTTAAAAGAGAATAGAAAAATAAAAATCCAGCATTTATTTAAACTAACTTTAAACTTAACAACAAAAACCGAAACTGAAAGACTGTGCTATAATTTTCTTTTGACCCCCCCCCCCCCCTACTCTCACACACACTCTCCCGGGGAATATCTAAAGCTGTGCTCGACGGTGCAAGTGAATTAAAATTCTATTCCATTTATTTGATAATATTGAAGAAAATGTATTTATTAAAAGGTATTCAATGACACATCGTTTCAGAACTTTCTATCAAATACTTTAAATGTAAAGACAAAAGAGGATATATTTCTGCTTAAAATAAATATATGTCCATATGAATGAAAACTAGTACATATTTCTTTCTTTGAGAAAAATATTTAAATACCATGATCGCATTGATAGTATATTTTACTCATTGCACTTAAAATTCTTGTACATATATATCAATGTAATTAATTAATTTGAACACATTTTCTTTATAAGGAAAAAAACGCAAACAAATGTATTATACATTACCGTGTAATTTCATTTAGTTGTTCCCATTTTTTAACTCCTAAAAAAAACCCAGAAGAATAGCTAATTCAAATAATAAAATACTAACACAATTTGACATCCTGGTCAATCGATAGCCATATTAATAAAAATGAAATCGACTTCTGAGTGAATCTTACACGTTTCTTACACGATTCTTGCGCGAAAGTCGCACGTTTCTCACACGGATCTTAAACGAATGTCACACGTTTCTCACACGCTCGCTGCACGGTTTGCACGAAACGCTTTGGAGCTTACACGAAACACTGCACGGTTTACACAAAACGCTACATGGTTTGTATGAAACGCTGCACGGTTTACATGAAACGCTACACGGTTTACACGAAACGGAAAGCGCACGAAAGTTACACGCTTTTTGGGGGTAGTAGCACGTCTCAGGGTCTGTACGTAATGGTGGGATTTATTCTTGTTTAAATCTGATGTCAACTTCCAGTTTGTTTGTGTGTCTGTCTATTTCATACATGTTTCATACATAACAAATTTTTGTCACAGTTTTCTCATTTACTAATCACAGATGCTTGACATTTTAGCACACTCTTTAATGAGGCATGCTATATTGGTGGGATTATTTTTTGTTCAGATCCGATGTCAAATTCCTGTTTGTCAGTGTATCCGTCCGTTTCATTTTCGTTGCAGTTTTCCCAGCAACTGTATCATAACAGATGCTTGAAGTTTTATTACATACTTTGTTGAGGTATGCAGTATGGTGGGATTTATTTTTATATGAATCTGATATCAAAATCCAATTTTCCATGCATATACCCGTAACGTTTATTAGCTTGATATTGTATAATCACATCAGAGCGGGGGTATTACTAGTGAGCATTGGCTCACAGATTTCTTGTTTTTTCTCTTCTAAAAGTCATATATAAACAAAATACTCTGAAATCATATCATTGAAAATCAAAATTAGCGTTGATTTGAAAATACACTCTGGAGCTTTGATGCGGCAAAGATATTAATACTCTTAAACTGCACTGTGAGTTCTGACCAGGTCAAAGTGGCCCAAAAGTAGTTTTATGAATTAAGTGCATGTGACTGTCAAGGCCTCTATAACTTAAAAGTTTTGTTTTATTAAGATGTGTTAAATTATTTTTTTTTAATAATAGGAAAGGGAGTGTTTGCATTGAAAGAGTATAAAAAGAGAGAATTCAACCTGGATGTATGATGGTAAACTAATATCCAATGAAGAAGGTGAAAACAGGGAAATAAAATACCCACCATCAATGGGGAGCTACATATATTTCTTTTCTTCCAAAAGAAAAAGATTTTGGTATGTTTTTTCTTTAATTTAAGACACCTGACTGTGACCTGAGTGAACTCAGGTGTCCTGTTGCTATCCGTTTTCATCAGTCATTTTCCACTGTGCATTAACATTCCAACATTTTAGCTCACCTCAACGAAGTTGGGGGAGCTTATGTAATACCGTCGACGTCCTGAGTTTTTTTGAGCAGTTTTCTTTTTAAGTACTTCTCTGCCCTATATTGATGAGACATGCATGGAAGATGTTTCTAGTGTGTTTCATAGTACCAGTCAAAGTTTCAGATGCTGCAATTTCAGCAAATGAATGACCAGGTTAATGTTTTTGGAGCAGGTTAACTTTTTCGGAGCAGATTTTGGTGTAGGTCTCATTTCTGAGTAACTATAAGCCCTATGTTGACCAAACTTGCATGGATGATACATCTAAGGATGCACACTATCAGGCTTGCTTCGGATGCTGAATCTGACCTACATTTTCCGGTTT